GTAATGGATAGTTGGCCTCCTAACAATATAAAAGCTCAAACAAAGTTAAACGTCTACTAGTAATAACTTGTTTATATATGGTAGTATTTATGTTAACTTACATCATTCATCATCGTATATGGTAGTAACTCTTCCCAATCCAACAGCCGGATCCTCCTCCAGGAAATAGCCCTAGGAATATCATTTGAATTTTTGATTACATATGTCCGCATGCTGGGAAAAGCCTCAAATATCCAAATCTAAAAAACAATATAATACACAAACATTAGTAATTGTTACATAATTAATTATAATTTTGGAAACATTATATAGAATCCTTACCTTAAAGGCCCAAATAAAGCTTGCCAAAGTGTATTTGGAACCATGGTTACGTAAACTTTTTCGGTCCTCAAAGGCAAACGACAACTTTTTCCAAGTAGATTTCCATATATATGAACCCCACGGAAAGACGTTACATGCATTTAGGTTCTTTACCAATAATATTAGGTCCTCAGAAATAGGTTGTCTTGCCTCTTTGCCTAAAAAGTCGGCATGCAAAACTAAAAAAAGGCATACTCGGAGAACATCGAGGTCATCCATCCGAGTAAAACCATCTTTAACAAGTAATCTTTTCAAGTCGTCGACGTATAAACTGGGCTTCGCCTTTGCCAGCTCAGGAAAAACCCGAGATAACTATGATGGGCGGGCGATATGACTAGTGTACCGACCTACTTCATCGTGTCCGAAGCGTAGACCAATGATTAAGCAAAACTTCTCCTGCCGAAAACAGGTATACGCCAGTGGAAAATGAAATCATATCTCTTCATCACCACGTTGTATCCTCTCGGGTATATCGTTAGTCATGGTCTGAAGAAACAAATGGGTCAACATAGCATCTCCACCTGGATGTTGTACTTTCAGCCACGGCTCGAAGCAAGTATCCTCAAACAATTTTCTTTGTACATGTGTAAGTGTCGACGCTATTGTAGCGACTAGGCTTAATTTATTCCTTATAGTCAATGAAGCCGAAAAAAATTTCTAGCAAATACAATAAACATACTAAGTTAGATATACTAAAAACTATAAATTATACAGTATAAACAGACATGATATTAAACAGTGAAAACAAAGTCAAATATGTTTCAAACTAGCACGGTATTCACCCAAGTCATTATTCTATCATAGTTCACAAAATGCATCAGATAACATTCCAGAAGTAAGCACTTATATACAAAATATAGGTTTAGTGTAGGTTTAAGGACAACATAAAGAGTAGTAGTTTATTCTTGAACTTAAATTCGCAACACTATGAAGTTTGTATTTGTCTTTGCTTTTTTGTTGAAGTAATGCAATTCATTTCTGAAACTTAAAATCGCAACGCGAAAATGAAATTACAAATTTAAGTTTCAAAAACTATTCTTCTGCAATTGAAACTTAAATGAATTGCATTACTTTAACCAAAAGACAAAACAAAGACAAATACTAACTTCACAGGGTTAAAGACTAAACAGTTTAGCAGTATTGGCAGCAACCGAATAAATTTACTAAGCAATCTAAGTGAAATGATTAATGTATTATTGAAGAAATTACTAGTAAATTTATCATAAATTTAAATATGAAAAATCTAATAATAATTTAAAATTTTCAAAATAAAAATAATTAAAAAAATTAACCTTCGGTGGTTGATTTTCCATTTGTGACCGTGAATGGTTGTGAGGGTGGCTTTGAGAGATGGAGATAGACGGATTTCGCCGGAGATGGAGACGGATGTCACCGTAGAGAGTGAGAGATGGAGATGAGATTGAGTTATGATTTAGGGTTTTAGGTTATGATTTACAATTATAATGTTTACATTTGTGTTGCGAAATTAATATTGTGTTTCGAATTCGAAAATAAAATTCGCGTTGCGAAAATAAACGCGCTTTGCGAATTACAAATTCGCGTTGCGATTTACATATTCGCGTTGCAAATTTGAAAATCGCAACGCGAATTAGGAGAATTGCAATGCGATTTACATATTCGCATTGCGAATTTAGAAACTGAGTTGCGAAATTGGAGTTCGCGTTGCGAATTTGTTAGTCATTTTCGCAAATCCAAAAAAAGTTGATTAAAATTGTATATTATAAGAAATTTTCGGTCACTTAAGTTATTTTCTCTTAAAAATTTTCGAGGTAGTTTCCAGAGGAATCTATAATGGCCCAAAACATGTAAGGCGTAGTTTCATTAGGTGGGTTTCAGTTGTAGTTTGAGATCGCCTCGGCTCGCATAGATTCCCGGGCCATCACCAACGCGCTATATTGGGACCATTTCAAATGAAGCAACTCTTATTTGGGCTAAAAAAACCCATATTCACCACCTTAGGTCATAAACCAGTCAATCACTAGGGAGAAATTTAAAATATATAGATATCATCATAATTATCTTGAAATATAAAATTAATATAAAGAAATTTAAATCGATATTATTTCGACTCTAATTCTCATTCATAAAAATTAACTATGACTCACCTCGTATATAATTTTTTTAATAAAAAAATCAAATTTATAAAAAAAATAACTCATCAGATTCAAAAATATTTTTGAATGAGAAAGAAATAAACAATAACAATATTATGCCCAGCTAGAGGCATGCAGCTGGTGCAACAATCACTACGAAAACCCTCGTATAGCAGTAGGTGGAGCATGAAAGATGTTGAAATCGAAAGGGAGAGACCAAGCCAATTTTGTCTTTCCATCTGCAAACACGGTTGTCAAAGCATGGACAGCCTCCATATGTAAACGTGGGCTTTGCTAAAGGACACTATCCACAGATTACAAAATTAAACAGATTACAAAATCATATACTTTGAATTATATTCAAACTCGTAATCTAATAAACTATGTCAAACATTATAATCAAGCTTATTAACATAAGATTCGTTAGATAAATTAAATTATCTTACAACTTTATTGATCAAATCAATTGAAGATTAATTAAAATTTAATCGATTCGACTTTGAGTCTCATTTTACAACATTAGACGTAACTAAACCCTTGGATTGTGCAGATGATGCTCGAAGACTAATCATTGTGGATTGTCCGATCTTGTTGATATGTTAATCCAACTAGACAGGCTTAATCTTAAATCCTCTAAATAAGAACTCATGATTCCAATACCAGTTGTGAGTGGCCGGTACGGGAATAAAGAGGATTTTTATTTAATCAATAATTTATATAATTGCCAGTTAGACCACATTGGCCCTTCTCAACGGTCGAGAGGCAGCTGGATCGACGTAGGCTAAAGCAAGTGAGCTGTAAATGGCCGGCAGATGCCTGTAACCGAGGCTTTGGATGTTTCTTTTTATACCAAGCGATATCCCACAAAGTGTTGTGCATCACATCCTCCCATGGCGGCCACACCACAAGAAAAACCAGCGCAAGCTAAAGAAACACGGCCGTTAAGAGCCGAATATGAAGACTACTCCCAAGTTTTCGAAGACCAGATATCATCAACCGGTTGCGGCGGGTGTTTCCGGGGACTTTTCCGGTGGCGGCATGGATACCTGCTGCAATCCGAAGAGAACAGAGAAAATCGGGTGAAGAGAAAAGCCAAGAAATTGCAAGATATCGGAGTTATTGGCGGGTCCAAGATGGAAGAATTTCATTAGAAGATTTAGTATTTATGGGATCAACAAGAAAAGAAGGTCGACGACGATGCAGTACGATATTCAAAGCTATGAACTCAATTTCGATGAAGGGATCCATAGAGAAACCGACGCTGGATACCTTGGTTTCTCTGCTAGATTTGCAGCTCCAACTGGGATAACAAAGGGCAGCTTTTGGGATCGCATTATACGGTTTTTTGATCATTGAAACTGAGATAAATTGGTATCAATTGTAATTGAGTGATTCTTTTTTTGTACATGTTCATCTGTGTTTCCAGATTCATATATAGTATACAGTCAATAATAATGTTATTTGTTGATAAATGGGTCAAATGTTGATGAAAAAATGGACTAAATATTAACTGTGTATAATTTGGGTTATTTATGTGTCCAATTGAGGTACCAGATTTGGATTTTTCTTTCCCCCGAACATCAACGTTTTGATCTGGGTCATCCTTGAATTTCGTGTTTGTCTAGCATTGTCAGATGTTTTGACTTCAAGTTGAGTTTTATTGCTAGTGGGATTTGTTATCTATTAAGTTGTGGTTGAGGGCATGTGATGCTGGTTTTGTTCTCTCTAGTGTGAGTTTTTCATGTATTTGGTTGATGGTATTTTGGGTATGGGAATGTTGTGTGGCTTTTTGGTCATCTTTTTGTATTAAACAGTGTGCTTAGGGTTGACAGTGTAATTGAATTCAACATAGTAGGGAGGTGTTTAAACCCTCGGTTGTCATGTTCGGTATAATTCATCAATAAAATCATACCATTTTTCCTTTTAAAATAAATTATAGTGTTCTGAATAAATCATCTCGAATTAAAATTATTTTGAATTTTGTAAGCTCGAATTGAATAGTTGAAATTGTTTATTTTCTATTTGAATTAAATTTAAATTAATTTACGAGATTGATCGATATTAAAAAAAATAAATGCAGAGATTAATTAATTTGCTCAATAAAGTTTGGTACGTTTTTGAAAAAAAGACAAAAGAGAGTATGGGGATCTCCAAACTTGCATAAAAGTAAACCACAAAGAAAGTCAATTGTAGTGGACAGGACACCCGTATTTCAAATATCCCACCTACTCTGATCTGGAAAATAATGCACCTAAAGTTCAACTTTTGACCCCAAAAGCTATTATTATTCTAAATGTATAGCCAAAAAAAAGTCTAGGAATATAACCACTAGCAAATTATCCAAAACTATCTCATAGGTTATTTGGACAAGTGTGTTATATGGAATTTTAATAAAGGGAATGAAATTTAGAATTAGACCATTTTGGTAACACAAGCTAGCTCTATATTTCATATATTCATTATATCATTCATCATTACAGGCAAGGAATAATAGAAAAGATCAGAGAAAAGAAGGCTTCCAAGATATGCAGCCAAATGTGAAGGCTTTATATGTCATTTCTTCTGCAAATTCGAACTCTAGATTAAAATGCTGGAGAAATAGCTATAATAATGATGTAAGCATGACTGTAAAGAATTATGCAAAGTTTTATGCACTGTACATCACTTATGCATAGCCAGCATATTGCACCAATGCACACCTGCACAAAGGGCTACGAATCGGGTTGCGAAATTTCTGTAGTATGTTCGATTTCATGGTTGAAGTTGAAATGTAACGAGACGTCGTTGATTGATATCAGGTGGAGAAGATGGTCATGGTCATGTTTCTCACTTTTCACCTGCATTACTTCTTTTGAAAAACAGGGTTGGTATATGAAACTGCAATGCTCTAAACAAATTAACCAAAAACAAGACATGCATTACGTTGACTATACCTTTTACGTTTGTTCTTCACTAGGGTTGAACTTGATGCATTGCTATGCCAGTTCCTCCTCTGATTGATGAACCAATTGTTTATTGCTTTAGTTAAACCTGTTTCTTGAACCAACTCGCCTTATCTTCCTCCTGAAAATCCGAAAACCAACAATTAACCGACTTTAACATGTTCTAATGAATCTTGACCGACCGGAAACAGAAACCGATTTTTAACCAAATTACTTACAGTAGGTATGGCCACTTGGAATGTGCCTGCCACCAAGCTTTTAAAACTGATGTTGTATCACCAGGTAGCTTTCCTGCTCTTCTCTTGCGTAAAATTTCCTCCCTTATGTCCACAATTTTCTCCTTGTAACCCTATAAGGAATGTAAAACTAAGTAAACATTGATTTACAAACTGATGTTGTATCACCAGGTAGCTTTCCGCTCTTCTCTTGCGTAAAATTTCCTCCCTTATGTCCACAATTTTCTCCTTGTAACCCTATAAGGAATGTAAAACTAAGTAAACATTGATTTACATGATAAAAAAAACACATTTAATTCATTAATTTTATTACCGTTTGAGTTCATGTTTCAGTTCTTGTCTCACACGCTCCATCAAAGACCTTTCACTCTCTGTGGGGACGAGAGGTCCGAATCCCATGGAATCCGGACCGTCAAAACATCGATCAAACAACTTGGCATCACAGTCCAATTGGTCTTCATCATCATCGGACATTGTTGTACCTGTTCCCTCCCCGGAGAAACTCCTGTTCATGTGTCAAACAGAAATGACGCTGTGAATGTCGGATATTGGTATTTGTTTGACGTAATGCAAATTGTTGGAAGCAAGAATAATAATGCACAACATCTGCTTGACATTTAAACAAATATACCTGTTAAGCTCTGTAAGGATTGTTCGATTCCCAGTATGCCATAAACTGCTTCCATTGCATGCACCCGAACATGTTGTTGCAGTTGTTCTTTAAATGAACATAGCAAGAGAACATAATGCGTCTACATTGAGAGGGAAGAGATAATAGTTCAAAATACAAAAATCTATTAAAATGATACGGGGGATCAATTAAAATGATTTGAAGACTGGGACCAATAATCCGAGTTATAGTTTGAGGATGTTTAGTGAAATTAAACCATATATAATGGAAACACTCTGTTTCATAAGATTTAACCCCAAAACAGAGTGAAAACAAGAAGAAACCAGGAAAGCATTTATGAATGGTTTTCAAACTTCAAAGATGTAGTGGCAGACCAAGAATTGATCGAGCTCTTGTCATCGGCAACCATGCCCTGGGCTCCGCCGCCTAGAGCCGAGTACTTGGCCGCCACATGCTGCGACTGAGCCAGCTGAGAGTCGATCATCGGGAGCTGATCACGGCGTGGCGACCCTGAGACACGACACGTGTGCTGACAGTAGTGCTCGTACAAGGGTGCGCTAGTATCTCCGCCTTGCACCTCGCATTTGCCAATTCATGGCCCCATCTCTTTCCACCACGACACCTTCGCTCTTGTTGTTATTCAAAGTCTCGCTGTTACTGACAGTGTTCTTCAAATCCCCCGATTCCACGGCCATCATGGAGTCTCCATGAAGGTTGAGTAAGCCATGGTCAGAGAATTGACCACCGTGCGGCTGAGGCTGCTGCGAACGGAGGAGGGCGGTGTTCAACCAATTGGGACCAGCGGTTTCTGCTTGTTGCTGTTGTTGGTCGTCGGTGAAGTGATGAAGAAGAAGGTCTTGGAAAGATGGTATTGTGGTGTGAAACGCCATGGAAACGGATACGAAAGAGAGAAATATGTCGACAACGAACTACGTTTCGACGATTATGAATTCATGGTTGTTTGATAGAGAGAGAAAACCAAGGGAAAGAAGTTACAGTCTTTGTACCTGTAGAGAGAAAAAGTAAACACAAAGGTGAGGGTTTTTCCTTTAAAGCATAAAAGGTATAAGGGAAAGGGTATGAATTATGAGATCATTGTAACTATGGAGTTACTGTAAGAAGCGTGTTTGATGAGAGAAAGGCAAAGCAGCGTTGAAGAAGCTGTTTTCAGGTCAAGAACCTTGTTTATGATATGAAATGGTGATGGGGTCATTTTCATTATATATATTAGTCTAAATCTCTCATATTCGGAAGTATTCCTATTAAATTATAGGTTATATATAAACACCTGAATTCACAACATTACTTGATAAATATTAAAGTTTGATATGATTATAAAAATATGGATTATTATATTTTAGTTGTCATAAATAATGAAAGATAGTAGTAAGTTTGGGATTGAGAGACGATTATAAATGCTAGAGTAGACTCCACAAGCATGTATGGGAGAGGTGATAATTTTGTTCCATGCAAGAACAACAAAAAACAAAAGTGCATATGTTGACGAGTGACAAAAGGAAGCTGTTGATTTCATGTTATTAAACTGTGTTGTATTTTTGCGTTTTGTTGCGTGCCAAATAAGAAAGCGGAAGTGCAATTGATGTGGGAAATAATGGTTAGTAATAGTGCTAAATAAGTTGGGGGAAGTGCGAAGCTAGAATACTGCTCTGCTTCCAAATTATTTATTTGTTTTGTATCAATTCTCTGAAAATGGAATTTCAGTGTGAATCTTCCCTAATAATTGTGGAGCTTTGAATCAATGGCGAATGGTACATCTTGGGGAAGTAGTTCGGTTCTGTTTTTTGAGCATTTCATGTGTATGACGGTAATTAGATTTCTTAAACATTGTTTTCTGGGAAAACATTGGGATTGGAAGTTGAAGGTCTCTTATCGTCTCTCACTTTCGCCCTATGTTTTATGCTCACCCATCCATCTTGTTTTCCCCTAATGACAAAAATGTCAGATTTTTTTCGACGATATTGAGATATTTATTCAAGTTTTATCATTACTTATAACTTAATATTAAATAAAATTTATAATCCCAATTCTTTTACAATATTTAAAAGAGAAAATAACCTCAGTGACAAAAAATACCTTATAATATACGATTTTAACCAATTTTTTTTGAATTTGCCAAAATGACCAACTAAATTGCAATGCGATCGATAATTCGCAACGCGATCTCCGATATCGCAAATCAGTTTCCAGATTCGCAACGCGATTCTGACTATCGCAACGAGATTCTGACTATCGCAATACTTAATTTCAAATTCGCAACTCGATTTATGAATTCGCAACATGTTTTAGTTTCGCAACACAAATGTTTTGGGTATATAACTACGCAGCAACAGTAACTCATAACCTAAATCCCTAAATCGCAACTCATTTCATCTCCATCTATCACTCTCTCCGGGGACATCCGTTCCTATATCCAACGACATCCTTCCCCCATCCGGCAACAGTTTTAGTTTCGCAGTCGTTGTTTAGTAGTAATTTACAAAATGAAATCATCTAATGTTGATCATGTTTGGATAGTTTATTTTGGAGGGTCATGGGAGAATGTTCATGGTGTTTACAATATATGCCTTTACCCATGAATCTTAACTAAACTGTCATTAAAAAAGTTAACTTATGAAACTCTAATGTTACGTGTTGCAAATAAATTGAATTTAGAGCCTCTATGTGGATTTAGGCTATCTTATCAGAGAAATGGTAAAGTTTATTTGTTAACCGACAATGAAGAGTGAACGATTCATTGCTTACATTAGTGTTTCAAGTGATGATGTTACATTGTATGTTGTTGAACCTAGAAGTGAAGTTGGGTCAGTAGCGGGTAGTAATCAACTAAGTTTTTCAACCCAGTTTATGGTGCTCAAATTTAATGGTTTCACCACAATTTCATCACCAAGCAATATTGTTTCACCACATTTCCAATACCAAACACAATCTCAAACCCACAACCTTTCCCTAATCCAAATCCCAATCAACTTTCAGCACCGAATTCCGGTTTTCGTATTGACCAGTTAGACGATGATGAGCCAACAGAAAAATTGTGAGTACTAGTCAGTATTCGAAATTTGATATTGGTCAATACCCGGGTTTGATCTTGGTCAATACTCGGATTTTGATGATTTTTCAGAAGAGAAACAGACCCTGCGTGTAATGATTTTGATATTGGTCATTACCGAATTTTTATGATGAAACAGCCGTTGCCAAAGAAGATGTTGTTGATGATAATGAGGAGGAAGTTACGATGTAAATGAACATGTTGAACATCCATTCTGTAATTCATATAACACTGAAGAAGAAAAGAAGAAGAAGAAATCCCAAAGAAAAGTCCCTGAAGAAATGCCACGGGAGTATAACTGGAATGTACTGAATTACTTCAGATACCAGAAGAAGAGCTGGTAAAGATAGCGTTGATTGTACACAAAAATTATTCGTATCAAGAAAGATGATTGTTTTGATACAAAGGAAGACTTGAAGATAGCGTTGTATACGAAATGTGTGGAAGATGGCTATCAACTAAAAGTTAACAAATCAGCAAAGATCGTTTCGAAACAAGGTGTATGATTGCAAAAACTGTACGTGGCGTATGATTGCAAAGAGGATAAAAGATTGCGAATGTTTCAAGTTAGGACTTTTATTGATAAACATATATGTTCAAGAACCAAGTTTTCCTCACCATAGACAGGCAAACAAAAAGGTATTGGGTGGTTTTCTGGCTGAGTTAATGTTTTTGAATGGCAGGGTATATCGGGGACATGAAATATGACTGAAATGAATGCTCGGTTCAAGATTAATATCTCATATTCAGCTTGGAGAGCCAAATGTTATGCCTTGGAATTGTTGAGGGGGTCGCCAGAAGCATCGTTTGCCCAACTGTCGGCTTATTATCACAATTTAAAGCTAAAAAATCCTGGGTCGGTAACTCATATCAAAACAGATAGAGATGGACGCTTTGAGTTGTTGTTTATCGACATTGTGTGCTGCGGTTAATAAATCATAATTTTGTTGACTCATTTTGTTAGTTACATGCATTTCACATTTAAATGATTATATTTCTTGTGTATGATTTTGTAGATTCGTTCATTTATAATTGCATGCGCCCAGTTATTATAGTTGACGGAGCACATTTAAAGGTCGATACCTTAGAGTAAACTTATTAGCAGTAGCCATAGATGCTAACAATGAGATACTGCCAATAGCTTACGGGGTTGG